CTCTACCTGTTTTAAACAGCATGTACTTGCATTTGAGTTTTTCCAATTGGACATTTTTAGACATTAATTGCCAGATTTAGTCCTTTTATATTTATTTTAAATGATGTGTTTTTACCATCTTAAGAGTATTTAATTTCATTTTCTTCTTTCTCTATTTTTTATTCTTATTTTTTCCTTCAATATCCGTATCTCCCTAACAAGATGAGAACTATTTCAAAATTTCTTCTCTTATGTTTATTATTTTATCTTTTCTATTTTCTTTGGGTTTATTCTTCTACAAAGAAGCTCCCAATTTTTATCAAGTCTGGTTTATCCAAAACATTTTTTTTCTTTAATGGATTTTGTTTCGGGGGTTGTATCTAAGAAGTCTTTTCCTATCTTAAGGTCACAAAGATTATCTTCTACGTTGTATTTCTAGAATTTTTAAGGTTGTTAAGTCTTACATTTGGGTTAATAATTCATTTTGATTTTTTCCCCATTGCTGGAGCTCAAATCCAGGCCTTGCAAGCACTCTACCCCTGAGCTACATCCAGCCCCTTGACTTTTTAATATAACATGAGGTGTGGATTGAAGTTCACTTTTTGCATATGGATATCCAGTGGTTCCAACATCATTCATTGAAAAAATTATCCTTTCTCCACTGCATTTTCCTTGCTCATTTGTTGAAAATCAATTACTCAAGTACATATGGGTCTATTTTTGATCATTTGTGTGACCATTGTGTTAATTATTTGAATTTACAATAATAGTCAGGTAATATAAATCTTAACACTTTTTCTTTTTAAAGTTGTTTTTGCTATTCTAGGTTCTTTGCACATCCATATTAATTTTAGAAGCAGCCTGTCAATTTCTATTATTTAAATAAGTCTGCTAGGTTTAATTTGGATGGAGTTGAACCTATAGATCAACTTGAGAAAAATTGATGTTTTAATAATATATAGTTTTTGAGAGATGAACATGATATATTTTTCCCTTTATTCTGGTCTACTGTAATTGGTTTACAGTTTTCAGAATAAAGATCTTATACATCTTTTGTCAAATTTCTCCCTATTTCATATTTTTGTCATTATTTGATTTACTAAAATTTCAATTTTTGATCATTTCTTTGAATGGTAGGCTATTTAGAGTTGTGTTCTTTATTTTCAAATATTAGGGGATTTTCCAGATAGCTTTCTCTTACTGATTCTAACTTAATTATTGTGGTCAAAGAACATACATTGTATGAATTGAATTATTTTAACTTTATTAAGACTTGTTATATGGCCCAGAATATTTTATACTCATAAATATTTGAAGAGAAAATGTCTGTTCTGCTGCTATTGGGTTCTGTTCTATAAATGTCAATCATGTCAAGTTGGTTGATAACAGTGTTTGAATGTTCTGTATCCTTATTGGGTTCTTTGCTATTTTTTTTATTGACTGTTGAAACATGAATATTCAAATCTCTGACTATAATTGTGGATGGGCCTATTCTTGAAGTTCTGTCACATTTTGCTTCATTTATTTTGAATCCCTGTTATTGGGCACTCTCGCCCATGACCAACGCAGATAAGACGACTGGGTTTAAAAGAGTTGGCTGCAACATTAAACTAAGAAAGTGGAGAAAAATCATGCAACACAGACATAAGTTTTTCAGATGGAGGGAGGGATGGCTCTGTGGCCTTAGGGGTCAGCTTCCATACTGGAAAGAACACTGGAAATAAAGAGTGTGAGCCCAGAATCCCTTTATTTTATAGCGGGGAGCATCAGAGGGTGATATGGTTTTAAGGGTGGAGTCTTGCTTCATAATGTCTGGTGGGCAGCAGATTGATTGACATCTTGGTGAGTCACACCCATCTCAGGTGCTGTGCGGGATCTTAGGTAGAGCTGGAGGGGGAGGCATACCTACATCATGCCATCAATCCCTTGACAGGGAGTTCGCAGTGCCAGGCCTGTCCCCTCCAGAGGCTACTATGTGCAACACAATCCACACACAGCCCATGGACGACTCATGACAGGGTACATAAAAGTTGAGGACATTTATGTTCTCTTGGCAAATTAACCCCTTTATTAGGAAACAAACTTCTCTCTAGTATTATTCTTTGCTTAAAATCTACTCTGTCTGATATTAATATAACCACTACAGATTTCTTGCATTAGGGTTGACATGATATTTTTCCATCCTTTATCTTAAAACTTACCAGTCTTTAAAGTGGATGTCTTTTTTTTTCAAGTATGATTCATTTTTATTTTATTTTTATTTGTTCTAATTAGTTCTACATGATAGCAGAATGCATTTCAATTTGTTGTACACAAATGGAGCACAACTTTTCATTTCTCCAGTTGTACATGATGTAGAGTCGCACCACATGTGCAGTCACATATGTACCTAGGGTACATTACCTAGGGTAATGATGTTCATCTCATTCCACCATCGTTCCTGCCCCCATGTCCCCTCCCCTTCCCTCTCTCCCCTTTGCCCAATCAAAGTTCCTCCATTCACACCCTCCATCCCCTATGGATCTGCATCCACTTATCAGAGAGAACATTCGGCCTTTGGTTTTTTGGGATTGGCTAACTTCATTTAGCATGATATTCTCCAAGTCCATCCATTTACCTGTAAATGCCATAATTCTATTCTCTTTTAATGCTGAGTAATATTCCATTGTGTATATGTACCACGGTTTTTTTATCCATTCATCTGTTGAAGGGCATCTAGGTTGGTTTCACAGTTTAGCTATTGTGAACTGAGCTGCTATGAACATTGTTGTGGCGGTGTCACTATAGTATGCTGATTTTAAGTCCTTTGGGTAAAGACAGAGGAGTGGGATAGCTGGGTCAAATGGTGGTTCCATTCCAAATTTTCTGGGGAATCTCCATAGTGCTTTCCATAGTGGTTGCACCAATTTGCAGTACCACCAGCAATGTATGAGTGTACCTTTTTCTCCACATCCTTGCCAACATTATTATTGCTTGTATTCCTTGATAATTGTCATTCTGACTGGAGTAAGATGAAATCTTAGGGTAGTTTTGGTTTGCATTTCTCTAATTACTAGAGAAGTTGAACATTTAAAGTGGGTTTCTTGTAGGCAACACAGATTTGGATATGACTTTTTTTATATCCAATTTGGCAATCTTTACATTTTAATTGGATTGCTTACACCATTAACATTAATTGGAGTGATTTGGTTTAAATCTACCATCTTGCTATTCATCTTCTATTTTATTTCTCTCATCTGTTCTTTATCTCATCTCTCTCTCTTTAGGCCTTCTTTTGAATTAACTGGATACTTTTTGTGATTTTATTTTCGCAACGCCCCCGCCCCCCCCCACACACACACACAGGGTCTCACTATGCTGCCAAGCTGGTTTTAAATACCTGTGTGGAGAGCCATTCTCACATGTGACTGGGCAACTCCTGGTTTGGGTCTGAGGCGTTCTGGCTGTGTCGGAGCTTTCCCGGTCCTCTCCTGATGAGAGAACCCATCCGTGTGGGGGTGTGACTGACCACTGACCTCGGGGGCCAACCACTGACCCTGAGCTTGGAGTGCGGCCCCCCTCAACCTTCATTGGATGGAATTCTCCCCTGAATTTCTTGTTCCCCAATAAAAGGCTACTCCCTGGTGTGCTCGCTCTCTCTCTCTCCTGCTAGCCCTGAGTAATCCTTGCTGCCCTACCGGGCGGTTCGAGGTAGGAACCAGAGAGGGGAGCCGTCTCGGACCTGGTCATAGAAAAAGGTAACTGAGTCTGTGTGTTTTATTTCGATCTCGCTAGCTAACTTTTATGCCAAGAACCTCATTAATGAAACCAGTGCGCTGGCCGCATGGTGGATACCTGGTTCAAGTGGTCCTCTGACCTCAGCCTCCCAAGGGCTGTACAACAGAGGTGTGCCACCACACCCAGCTAATCTGTTAAGCTTTTTAGTTATAGCTATTTGTTATTTTGGTGGTTGCTTTAGCATTTACAGTATCTACCTTTCCCTTATCATGTCTACCTTCAGGAGATACTTCATCGGGCCCCAGGTAGTATATAAAACCTTACTCTGGAAAATTCCCATTTCTCCCCTCCTGGTCTTTGGGCTATTGTACAAAGTACAGCTTTGCCTTCATAAATATTATAAGCCCCACATTACATCACTAACAGTTTTTTCTCAACAGTCAATGAGCTTTTCAAGAGATTTAAACAGTAAGGAAAGGGTCATTGGCCTGTCCCAGGGAGCTGCTTTTCAGGTGCTCATCGTTCCACTGTGTAGCCCCAGATTTCTGTTTGGTGGCATTTTCCTTCTGTTTGAAGGACCTTCCTTTCCTTCTGTCCAAAGGACTTCACTGCATGACCACCGTGGCATGTAGACAGTCTACTGCCGAAGTTGTCTTCAGTGGTATGGCCTCACTCAGTTGCCAGGACTTGGCCTTAAACTTTTGATCCTCCTTCCTCAGCCTCCCAAGTCGCTGGGATTACAGGTGTGTGCCACCACACCGGGCTCTCAGTCTGTTTTTGAAGAATAGCTTTGCTGTGCCAAGAATTCTAGATGGACAGAGCTTCTTGCTCCTGTAGGTTGTATTTTCAAAGGAAAATTTCAGAGGATCTAGATTAAAATCCTGGGAACAGAAAGTCCGTTCACTTTCACTTGTGTACTAGATGTATCCACGCACATATTTAATTAAATCTTCAGGTCTGAGTTCATGGCGGTGGTGCACACCTGTCATCCCAGCAACTCGGGAGGCTGAGGCAGGAGGCTGGCAAGTTCAAGGCCAGTCTCAGCAACTCAGTAAGGCCCTAAACGACTTAGCAAGATCCTGTCTCAAAAGATAAAAAGGACTGGGGAGGTAGTTCAGTGGTAAAGTGCCTCTAGGTTCAAACCAGAGGGCCTAAATAAATAAATAACTCTGCAGGTCCTCTGCATGCCCTTTGAACTCCCAACCACACACACCATTGCAGGGGGTACAGGGAAAGCAGCAACCCCCCGATCGACAGCCGTGGAGATGAATGCCGGGCTGTGTGTGTTTTGTTTCTATTTTCAGGCTTAGAGAAGAATGGAAGCAGAGGCTGGAAACAAAGCTAAGGCTACGGAACAATCCAGACGAGACTGAAAGGCGGGCAAATGTTGGCTGAGAGCTTCCTGCTCCACTGACCACAGAGGACACAAAGCACTGAGGTCACGCTGCTGGAAGTCAACTCAAATCCCCAAGTCCCTTTGCCTTGCGGTTGGATTCCTGCAAAGGGGGTTCCCTGCCAATCCTCTCCCAATGCGCATGCGCCTCATTTGCCGAGTCAGTCTTCTCCGTGTCGGGGGCAAGTTTTTATTCCAAGTGGCTCTGAAGATGAGCTTATTTATAATCAAGGCTCCAGGCAGCATTCTTAACTTTTACATAATTATCTTCTAATTTTTTAAAAAGCCCCACCTATTTCAACTTCTTAGCATCCCAGAAGGGGTTCCCAACCTTCATGGTCAGAGTATAAACATGGTCCAGGGGCTGGGGAGATAGCTCAGTTGGTAGAGTGCTTGCCTCACACACCAAAAATAAATAAATGAATAATAAATAGAAATGGCACAGGAGTTTCACTCCACCATCCCGCCTAGGAAACAACTGTTTCAGGTAATCCTTTCTCTTGTTCTCTTTCGATGCAAAGAGAAATCGCACCTCTCTGCAGAAATAAAGATAATTTCAATAGTCATAAATAAGGTTTGAAAATACATTGATCTTTGTATGAATTTGTTTTCAAAAAAATTGTCTCTCAATACTATCAGGATCGTTTTAATACAATTCAGTGTCTTGGTGTCCCCAGTGTATGCATTTCATCCACGGCTTTAATTAAATGCATGTGTTTGCAGTGGTGAGCTCTCTATCAGCTCAGACAAACGAATGTGTAGCCATCCCAATAGAGGGCGTACCACACAGCTTCTGGACTGTCACTCCCTAGCCATCTCTCAGGTCTAGAAGCATCAGTGCCAATGGCAGCTGGGTCTGGGAAACAATCTCTACCCAAGGGAAGGGGACAGAGAGAGGCATGGTGGGCACTTCTGGATATTGCCAGTTGTGCATGGTCCCTCAGGCTTTATGAACACAGGGGCAATGTGACTAATGCTACCAGGAGCTTCTCTGGTTTGCTTCACATAGAAATTCCAACTTAATCCTCACCGAAACACATACGCAAGCATTGTTATCATTACACATTTTTTTAGTAGGTGAGTATAACGATGCTTTAAAAAGTTTTGTAAGATAACCACAGAATGAATTAGTGAAAGAGCCGGGATTCAAAGTCAATTCTAACTACAAAGCCAGTTCCCATCAAATCATGATACCACCCATAAGTCCTTGTTTCAAAAGATTTGTGCTCAGCAGTAGTGTTTTCTCATTAAATATAAAAAAATCTACATGTGCTGGGTGAGGTGGCCCACACCTATAGTCCCAGCAGCTCGGAAGGCTGAGACAGGAGGATTGTGAGTTGAAAGCCAGCCTCAGCAACTTAGTGAGGCCCTAAGCAACTCAGCGAGACTCTGTCTCTAAACAAAATATAACAAAGGGCTGGGGATGTGGCTCAGTGGTTAAAAGTACATGGGTTCAACCCCCAGTACCAAAAAAAAAAAAAAATCTACATGCAAGATACATGTTTATACACTGAGAACATATTAATTTCTGTAAATTTTGAGCTGAAGAGTCACAGAATTGCTAGTTGCTCATTCTGAAGGTCTATATCCATGCTATAGGAGATGTCATTAGGTCTCAACTGAACAAAGAATGGGGCACAGTAAAATGTTAGCAAGTATAAGCCCTTTTTCAAATCAAAGAATCCTGGCTCCCTACTCATCTCCCTCATGTCCCGCCTCTCACTTTCTATTTCTCACTTACACTGGATTATTTGTAGAAGGTGGTGTACCTAGATGGTGTAAACGGGATTGAAAATAATTGAATAGATTGCTAAGCTTCTAAGAATGACAAATTTTTGGAGTTAAACAAAGGGAATGCAAATAAGGACACTTTGAAAGCTGATCCTACACTTTATCAAGATCAGAGTGGTTTTTTTTTCCCCTCTAAAAATGCTTTACTAGAAGTTTCTATACCCAGCCCCAACTTCTTCCAACCCCTAATCTCATTATCTCAATAAAAAAAAGTACACTCATCTAGTTACTCAGGTGAAAACCTAGTCACCCCAAACTCTTCTCTCTCTCTCCTGAACCTCTCACAAATACTCACAAATACTTCTGCCAGTTTCAAAATGTCAACGACGCCTTCTCAACATTATAAGGTTTACAATCTAAACCTCTGTGCCCTGGTTCAAGGGTGACAGTGATTCAAACACAATTAAATTCATCATCCTTAGTATAAATACTGTTTATAACTCAGTGTCTGCTATCTTCTGGAAGGTCACTTCCTCTGCCCCCAGGAGTTAGGTAGCTTACTCAGAAGAGGTGTAAGAACTGGGGACTAGGAAGGGCCACTCAGGAGACCTCATGGAAGTGGTGCTTTTTAAATGGAGAGCATTATGGAGAAGGAGTTCTGTTCCCAGGTCATTGCATGAACATTCTAGAACTATACTCCCACAGGACACTGTTTAGATATTATGGAAATGGATGTGTCAGCACCTGTCTGATCTTCTAGGTGGGAGGACACTTGGCAGAACCCTTCTGGTTTCCAGAGCAAAGTACATGACTCCACCAGGTCAGCCTCAGAGAGAAAGATGAACGCATGGCCAAGGGCATGGGGAGTGGGGAGGAGAGGCTTTGGATTAAAAAGCCCATTTCCAGGGGGGAAGGTTTTATTATGGATGTGCTGACAGGTGAGACAATTCATTAGTGTAAAAGGCAGCTAGCTTTTGAAATATTCAAGCAGGCTCTATTCTGCTTCCAGGCAGAATCTGCATTGAAAATACTTTTATTTGTTGGTATATTTGGTAACAAATGTTTTAGATGTTTTTATTTTATTTCAATTCCCTTTTTGTGTGTGTGGCATTGTGGATTGAAACCAGTCGTATTCGACCACTGAGCCATATTCCCCACCCTTTTGTATTTTTCTTTTGAGACAGGGCCTCACTAACTTGCTGAGGCTGGCCTTGAACTTGTGATCCTCCTGCCTCAGCCTCCTGAGTACCTGGAATTACAAGTGGGCATCACCATGCTCAGTCATTTTCGGTGTTTTTGTATCGTACATAAACACTAGAACAGTGAAATCACTCTTTGGGACTGATAACCTCAAGTTAAATTTTCACATCCATCTAGGTGCATGCATGACTTTAAACCTTCAGTTCTAGTCTTTTCTAGGAATTTCGCAGGTACATAACAGAGGATTGGCTTGTTCAAGTCTAAAAAGAGCCTCAGCGGATGAATGAGGCCTGGAAGCCCAGCTCTCAGTCCATCCTGTCTCATTGACTTGGTGTCCTCTTGGGGATCTGAGTGGTCCCAGCTGTTGCCCCAGGAAACCTGGCTGCTCTGGAGAGGAACCGACACTGCTTCCTTTTGTCTCATCAGATAAAGCACCTAGTGGGGGTAGCAGTTAGCTTCGGGAGATCTTGTACGATGCACTGGCCATGAAATCAGGGCTTCAGCTACATGGTGAGGCCGAGGGAAAGGGCCGACAACTTAGGACAGGGCTGCAAGGGCCAGGAAGGTTGCATCTCAGGGGCTCAGAGGATGAATGTGGGAGCGAGAAACATTGGCCGCCTTGGCATCCGGTCCAGCCCTAGGGACTGGAACAACACTCACGTGCTAGAACACAAAACTTCTCTGTTGGGCAGATGAATAGAGAGAGGGCTTGCCTACAGCACACGCCCACTGCTTCCTGAGCAGTTCCCAGGAACTCCATTCAAAGCAGGCCAAGGAGACAGAGCCACACGGCTCTAGGCATGTTTCCTCCTCCCTGAGCAGAGAGCCAGTTTAGCTTTCTGAATTGGAGTCAACATGAAACAGGGGGGGCAGTGGCTGAGCTTTAGAGGTCCTTTTACAAGGCCACATCCCAAGAGGAAACTCCCACCATATCATAACAGCCTGAATGAAGGGCGTTACAGGGCCGGGTGCTTCTGGAACCCTAAACAAGACTGCCCATCCTGCTGTGCCTTGAGCTGCAGACGCACTGCCACATCTCTGTCTGTAGTTTCCCCCGACAAATATAACTTATGCCCTGGGGTGGCTGGGATGATGGCTGGTCCATGCCCCATCTTCACAGTTGGCTCCATTCAAACCTTCCCTGGACCCAGAAGCTATTTTGAGGACAGCTCCTGAGGCCACAGGGAACGTAAAGCAGGAAGACAGTTGGCTACAAAGAAGGCAGAGAGGAAACTGAGGAAAGGCGAGCCACAGAGAGGACAGATAGAGAACTTTCTGGAAAGAGCTGCACCAGGTTTAGAAGAATTCACGTGTGTGTGTGTGTGTGTGTGTGTGTGTGGTGCTGGGGATCGAACTCAGGGCCTCACGCATGCCAGATAAGCAAGCACTCTACCGCTGAGCGACATCCCCAGCCTAGAAGGGTTCACTCTTGATCGTGGTTGTCTCTGTCAGGGGCCAGTCAGGTGTAGAAGAAAGAGAAGGTAGGGTGTACCGTCTTCCAAGTCTATAAGTAAACCTGCCCTTTCTAGGAACTGAGATTCTATCTCTTTTGAGGTTGTTCCTCTCATGCCAACATCCTTGGAAACATAGTCTGGAACATAGGTAGTCAGTGTCTCTGCTCACAGGAGGCACAGAAATGCTGAAGACCCAAGAAAATGTCTCCCAACAGCATCCACCCCTTGTTTCTGCACTGTCTTGGCTTCTGGTGAATTTCCCCTGAGGCCACTCAGATGTATCTGGCTGGCAGGCCGAGATCACATTCATTTAGTTTGACTGGTAAGTCAACTATGAGCAGGATCTCAAGCAGAAGGATCAAGCCAACCTGCCTGTAGCTATGTTCTCCTGGGTCCTTGATCAGGGTCACTGCTCTGACTACCAACAAACCCCATCCACTATCAGCGTCAGCTTCAGAAAGCCATCTGGATTAAGTATCTGGATGACTTTTCCTCTTGGCCAGGCTTGGCAGGGTGTACTAAAATTGCACAGGCTCCATCTTGGCCTACAAGGACGAAGTTCAGGGGGATCCTGTCACCTATGACCATGCTGGCCAGAGAGCAGAGGCTGCACCAGA